AACACAACATCCTTTCATGATACAAACTCTCAGTGAATTTTGTACAGAGGGAACATACTTCAAAACAGTAAAGGCCATTTATGACAAACCCACAGCAACCATCATACTCAAAGGTAAAAGGCTGAAACATTTTCCTAAGATCCGGAATAAGACAAGAGTATTCATTCTCACTACTCCTATATAACATAATACCAGAAATCCTAGCCAGGACAATCAGGCAAGATAAAGAAATAAAATGCATTCAAATCAGAAAAAAAAAAAAAAAAGAGTGAAACTGCCTTTGTTGGCACATGGTATAATCTTACATAGAAAATTCTAAAGACTCCACTAAAAATTTGTTAGAATTAATCAACAAACTCAGTAGTTTCAGGGCATAAAATCAACATACAGAAATGAGTTACATTTCTTCTTTTTTTAATGTCTACTTATTTATTTTTGAGAGCGCATGTGTAAGCAGGGGAAGAGGGGAGAAAGACAGAGAGAGAGAAAGAGTCCCAAGCAGATTCCAACAGAGCCCAACATGGGGTTTAGAACCCATGAACTGTGAGATCATGACCTGAGCCAAAACCAAGACCCAGTCGCTGAACTGACGGAATCACCCAGGTGCCCCAGAAATCAGTTGCGTTTCCAAATAATAAGAATGAAATCTCTGAAAAATAAATAAGACAATCCCATTCACAGCAGCACCAAAATTAATAAAATATTTAGGAATACATTAAGAAAGTTAAAGATCTGTATACTGAAAAACATAAGACTTTGAGGAAAGAAATCTAAGAAGATAAAAATAAATGGAAAAATATTGGATTTCATGGATTGAAAGAGTTAAAACTGTTAAAAATCCATAGTACCCAAAGCCAACTATAGATTCAATTCTCCATCCGAATTTCAATGCAGAGGCACCTACCTGGCTGGCTCAGTCAGTGGAGGGCACAACTCTTGATCTTGGAGTTGTGAGTTCGAGCTCCACAACAGATGGAGAGGTTACTTAAAAAAATCAAATTAAGAAAAAAATTTCAAAGTGGAAAAAAAATAATCCTAAAATGTGTATGGAACTACAAGGATCTCAAATGAAAAGGCAACTTGAAGTAGGGAGAAAATATTTGCAAACCATCTATCTAACAGTGGATTAATATCCAAAATATATAAGGAACTCATACAACTCAATAACAACAAGAAAATTTTAGAAAGCCCGGTGGACCTGACTAGACGTTTTTCCAAAGAAGACATACAAAATGGCCAACAACTACATGAAAAGATGGTCAACATCACTAATCAGCAGAAAATTCAAATCAAAACCACAATGAGATATCACCTCACAATTGTTATAATGGTTATCCTCAAAAAGACGAGACATAACAAGTACTGGCGAGGCTACAAAGCAAAGGGAACCTGTGTGCCCTGTAGATGGGGAATATAAATTGGTATCATTGCTGTGAAAAATAGTAGGGAGTTCTTCAAAAAACAAACAATCAAAAAAGAACTACCAACAGCAGTCTGACTTCTGGGTATATACCCAAAGGAAACAAAAACAGGATATTGAAGAGATATCTATGCTCCCATATTCATTGCAGCATTAACCATAATAGTCAAGATATGGAAACAACCCAAGTGTCCATCTATGGATATATATATTTAACACCGTTTATCACAAATATATGATGGAATATTATTCAGCCATGAGAAAGAAGGAAAATTTGCAACATGGATAGAACTTGAAGACATTATGCTAAATAAAATAAGTCAGACAGAGAAAAGACAAATATTGTATGATAACATTTATATGTGAAATCAAAAAAACCTGAATTCATAGAAACAGAGTATTATGGTGGTTACCACAGGATGGAGAATGGGGGAAATGGAAAGATGTTGATCAAAGGGTACAAACTTCTAGTTAGAGAAATCATTTCTGAGGATCTAATGTACAGCACTGTGAATTTACTTAACAATAGCGTATTACACGCTTGAAAGTTGTTAAGAGAGTAAATCTTGAATGTTCTCATCACTGGAAAGTAATGGTAATTATGTGACACGATGGAGATATTAGATAATGCTACGGTGGTAACTATAACAACATATATAAGTGTATCCAATCACACATCGTACATTTTAAATTTACACAGTGTTATATGTCAACTACATCTCAATAATGCTGGAGAAAAAAGAATGGTATACATACAATGCTAGCTTAAGATAGATTAATAGGTTACAAATTGGGCATTCTAAAAAAAATACTTTCAAATTAGTGTTACATAGTCATCAGATGACAAGAGGGTGTGATAGTTTAGAAAAAGTAAAACAATGACTGCACTAAAGTAGAGTTAGCAATACTGAGATTCAGGGCAGTGTTTTGTTTTGTTTTGTTTTAATCAATGAGCTATTTCTATCCTGTTCTTTCAGGAAGTAGAGCACAGTGACAGAGCAGAGGATCTGCAGTTAAGACAGTCTGAATCCTGGCTTCACTCTATAACCTTGACCAAATTAAATATCTCTATGCCTTACTTTCCTCACTATATAACAGAGATAACAGACAATGGCACCTACCTTGTTGGTTCATTAGAAGGATTAAATGAGATAATGCACATCAAGTTTGGTGCAATAAATGTTAGCTATTGTTACCTAAGGAAAACATTTTCTATAGGTTCAGGCAAAATATTGATATCTTGGTGAGCATAAAGATATGGATATATATTAAACATAATATAGGGATGCCTGGGTGGCTCAGTGAGTTGAGCATCTGACTTGGACTCAGGTCATGATCTTGCATTTCATGAGTTTGAGCCCCACATCAGGCTTGCTGCTGTCAATCTGTCAGGGCAGAGTCCACTTTAGATGCTCTGTTCCTCTCTCTCTCTGCCCCTCCCCTGCTTGCCCTCTCTCAAAAAATTAATAAAACAAAAAAATTATTGAAGACACCAAAGAGTTCTTAGAAAAATAAAGATAATATAATGTACAACTTGTTCAAGTCAATGTAGACTTTATTCTAACAGGGCTATAAGTTAATAATTGTATTAATATTGATTAATAATGTTTATTATTATGTTATTTCACTTATCTCAAACTGTATTTCCTTAATAAATAAAATTTGGTCATTGGGTCAAATATTAGTTGGAAATACGGTTGATCCCATTAAGAATTAGTTTAGCAGTTCTTATACCATATTAGAAGCAGTTACTCATTTCGTTTTCTTTCCCCACTGTGTCTAGCTCGGAACCTTAAACATGGTAGCTGCTAAATGGTTTGCCAATGTTAAGTCCTCAAAAAAAGCTGAACTGAATTGATTTTCAGGTAGCCCACGTGAACAGTGCTGTCTGAAATCTCTTGCAAGTGATGAATCACTTTATACCTTAAAACAAGGTCCAATAGCATGATGGTTAAGTACATGGGTCTTGTAGACATGAAGATCTACCTATGAATTCTGACTCTGTACAACATGGCCCAGGGCAAAGGAATGTTTCTAAGCTTCTTTCTTTGTTTATGAAATTGAGATAAGAAAAAGAATGTATGTGGCACAGCGCCTTTAACAAGTGATTTACACCAACATTTCGATAAAGGAGCTTGAGAGATCAGTGCACCTAGACTTGCAGAAAATGTTTCAAATTTTGGTGTTAAAGCCTACACACATAGTTTTCTCTCACGAATGAGAAAACACCTCAATATCAGCCCTAAAGACTCCATAGCAACTTACACATATTTTCAACCATATGGATCTTTTCTTGTTATAAACTATATTTAGCATATATAAAACTTTCATGTTGAAAACACTTTACAAGTAAGCAGGAATTCTTTTAGAGAATATAAAAATTTTTAGAAAATAAATACACTCATGAAATGCATTTAAAATTTATGTAACAATTAAAATGAAAATCTATTTGCCTTGAGCAAAACTGTAATGTTTCTAAATTAACTGACTTTGTATTCTGCCATAACCTAAAGTTGGCTGATGCATGTCTGTTCTGTGATATGATACAGCTTCCAGAGGAAAATTAAAACTATAAGAGAAAATATTAAGCTACTTAAAAATTCATATATCCCAGTATTTGGGCATTCTGGCATTTTATTAAGGAAGGTATGTAAAAATATAGTGAGCTATGTTAACTTTTATAAAGTGATCATAAATTCAAAGACAGCAATTCACCAAATGACAATTTTCAAACACTTAAAAAATATAGTTTATGTACCTATTTAGAAATATATCCCCTAGTTTTTACATAAATGCATGACTAATAATTTTCAAAAATAATATTTTATTGTGATTTTTTTCCGCTAGTGGGAGATTAAAATGGTGACAAGAAATTTTATTATATCACAATAATTGCTTTCATTTTTCCTTTATCTTTCATATAAAATTAGAAATTTTCAAGTCACCTTTTTTTTATGTATATTCTTACTGAAATATACTAGAGGAACTTTTAAATCAGCTAAAGTTAAAATGCTATCCTCTGTGACCAATTATAATGTAGAGTTTTATAGTTACCTTTTCATAATATCTCTTTAGTGGAACTGACTGAATAAAAGAATACAATTCGAAACGTCCAATTTTAGTTCATGTGAATTTCAACAAATTTGTAACAATTCTTTTTTACCTAATGACGGTTCAACTTTGAAAGATACAATGGGTTAAGAATTATACTTTTCTGTTACATATATATGAATATGAATATTGATTCATATATATGTATATATATATATACACACACACACATATAGTTTCACTCAGAAACTTATGCAATCCAAAAAACCAAAACTCTTATTGGCAACATTTTTGATTTACATTTTCAACATCTTTAATAATTTAAAGAACAGGAAAAAAGCACTTCTAGAACTGTACTTACAGAAAAAGAAATGCAGAAGAGAAGTGTGCACTGCAAAATTTCATTTTAATATTTATTTTCTGATTTAGTTTCAAGTTTGCAATAGGTTTAATCAAATAGAAAAATGATAGAAAACTAAAGGTATGAAAAGGCTGAAGTCAAACCAAACAAATTTAAAAAATCACTAACCCAAAGCATGCACTGCTCCTCTATGCCTGCTGGAGCTCTTGCTTGTTTTAATCACACGGACAGCACTTTCTTTGAACTGCAGCTCACAAACATTTTCAAGAAACTTTGCCATTTCTTCTGCAGCAGTATCCAGGTAAGTTTCTTTAATGAATTTTACCATTGAGGTGGGAGCTAAAATTTCATGTAGTGTGGTAAAATCCTCTTTTATCACTGAGTATAACTTAAACATCATACTTTGGTATCCATGAGCCATTTCATCTAAATTCGATTCTCTGCTGTAAGCAGGACGACAGTTCTGCAGGAGTTCAGCCAACAGTTTATTCTGTATGCTTTGGTACTTGATTAGGACTTCGGATTCTGGATAAAGAAACAACAGTTGTTGTAGGCACTGCTTTTTCAACCAAATTTTGTGCTGTGAATTGATGACTTCATTAAAGCTTTGTAATTTGTTCACTAAGAAGCGTCTAAGATGTAGCCTTATGTTCTCCCAGATAGACTTTACATCCATGGAGGAATCATCTTCAACAGAATGAAGAGACGTTCTGGAGAGGAAATGAAAAGATGCTCCACTTAGAGTCGCTGGGAATGAAATGCTGCTCCGGCAGGAGAGATCCCAAAGTAAATCCAGTATCACCTCTTCTTGATTTAGCTCATGCATCAATGAATCTTGCTAATAAAAGTAAATTATAACATGAGAAATGTGATTAACCGTAAGAGTAATAGTAAAAATGATTTCCATAGTCACACAATTTTGTAATAATTCATTTCAATTTAGAATCAATACTCAAATGGTTTTCAAAGGTTTTGTTTCTGTGTTTTGCATTTGGAATTTAATCGATTCAGATATTTTAGAACGTTAGCTTTATGATCTGTTAAATTATGCATACTCAGGTGATGATCTATATTTCCAGTTAGCTTTCCAAACATAATATCGTTTTCAGCCCTCATTGTTATCCATCCCCAATATAAATCTAAGCTGCAATTTGAAAATTCTAAAGGAAAACCTATAGCAAAATGTTGATTGAAATGTATTCCTCACACAAAATAAACTCAAGATCATATCCCTAAGTGATTCCTGTTAGAAAATTTTCATGCCTGAATGAGCATATCTATTATTATAGAACCCCAAATAAACATACAAAATGGAGACCTTTAAATATAGACTGTGCCGAGAACTTACTAAAACCTGCCATCCTTTAACTTTCATTTATATGCCTTTCTGAGAACCATGTTAAGAAATATTTCACTTTGGAAATTAATCTGAGAATATTTCAGTTCTATCCAAAAGGATAACTAACTCAATACTGGGGAAAAAATACTCTCAGAATCATTCCTCAAAAGGTGATATAAAATTATTCCTTTATGCCTTTTCTGCTGACAGAAAACAGTGAAAGGTATAATCATGAATAGTAAAGGAACAAAAAGTTACTTTCTTTTTGGACCTTGTATTACATGCACGCATTCTTCTTACATGCTGACTTTCCTAATTTTGTCTCTTTCAGCTAATACTGAAATTAGTTTATATTGTCTGAGTAGTAACAAGCTGATTATAAGAAAACTGGAAGCAAAATTCAAGTGGCATAAAATCAGGCTGGCTTTGAAATTTTTTATTGACCAAGATACCACAGGTATTATATGTGATTCATAATTATGCATAAGTCCTAGACAAATTCCATGAATTTGCTCTGAAGTAATTTGAAGTAGTGCCATGTTCAGTTTAATTTTCTATCTGTAATAAATAATACCTAATATCTATATAGTATTTTATTATATAAAAAGCACTTCTCTATCAAGTCTTTGGCTTATTCATAATAAAAATTCTGTGGCACAGATATTTAAAAACCCAATTTACAGATAAGGACACTAACATGCAACATGTTTAAGGTACTTTCTAAACGTCACATACAATACAGTGCAAAACCAAGAATGAATCTGTGGCTTCATTCTCCCTATCTATGTTCTTTCTACTGCACTCCAGAGAGCCACAAAGTGTAGCGATCTTTCTAAAGCTTCTCTCTCTCTCATCCCCCTCTATTTAGTTCTTTTGATACTTGTAGGAAAAAAAGTGATAAATTCTATGAAACAAACAAGTTATATTAGTGTCTCTACCTTGGGTTTCTTTTAATAATCTAAATCTGTAAATATTTGATCAAGTAATATTTAAAAAATAATTGGTGACAAGAGGTTCAGATATGTGTTGAATATGACTACTTAAATTCTGAGACTAACTTCAGTATAACTGTCATCATGAGAACCTCTGTTTCTTATTTAAGTACTTAGATTATTAATAAAAAATTCTATTAAGAAGGAGAGCTATGTAAAATGACTGTTAAGATTGACAGTTTTAGTATGTAAAACCTTGATAATAAGGTTGTTTTAATCTGAATCTGCTTTAATAATGTGGTTCTTTCCTCAAAATAACATAATCAATTATGTAAAAAACAAAACAAAAACAAAAAACAAAAAAACCTAGGTCTGGAACAACCCTATCAGTCTAATGACTTTGAGCAAAACTAAAGCGGCCTTTGCCCTGCAGTGAATAGAGAATGACTTATGTGTGACAGATTAAAAGATAATTAAAAGCTTTTGGTTTTAATTAAATGAGAAAGCATTATTACATCAATATTAATGAAATTCAATACACATGGCCCTTAATAGAAATTAAAAGGATAACTATATCCATATTTATTCTTCAAGCCTGCACCTTCAAGAGATAATGGGTGAGAGGATTTTCTTAAAAGGATAGGCTTCGGGGCACATAGTCTTCCTTTCTCTTCCTTTTATTACTTTGTAAACATTAAAGAGACATCTGCAATAATAACAACGGCCAAAAACTTTTCATCTGATTCTGTCATCCTAAGCCATCTACAACCTCAAGATATTTTCCACATCTGCCTTAGTCAATGTTTGATGTTTAGAGAAAACAGTGCCTCTTTACCCCCTAAAGTAAATTAAAACCAAAGCTACAGACATACTGCTTTCTAACAATTGTGCTGTTTGTTTGGGAAACTGTTGATGCAAGCTACTGCTTGCAGATACAGGTGTACTAAAGTAAGTGTTCTTACTCTATGGCTACAAACACATCTTTAACATAAAGAGTGGTCAATAACAAAGAATGACCAGTGTAAGATTTCCCCATCAGTTAACAGTGGCCTTGTAGAGAAATTACTGCCTTGACTGAAAAAACTGGATACGCCTGTAGCTTGGGAATACAAGGAATGACAGACAAGGCTACTTAAAAGATACAACCGATGGCAATCTTATTATGCTTAATAATAAGCACAGAGAAAATGAGTGGTTATGAAGGACATAAAACATAATAAATATTAACTTTTCTGGTGGACAACTGTGTGGTAAATATCAATCAAATCAATCTACACATTTTGAAATTATAATGTTGAATCTCCATTTATATAAAACTTCATTTTATTGATACAAATCACTGTAAAAGGTAAAAACAAATAGCTCTGGGGATACAGAAACAAAACAAAATCAAACAAAAGCCCAACTCCTAGATATGGCAGGATAACATGGTCACTAAAATATTTACATATAGAAGCTGAATGAATTATATTCCTGTTTACCCACCCCACCTCACTATAAAACAAAGATTCTTTTTTTTTCTTTACCAGTGTTTTGAGGAATTTTATCAAATCTCCACAGGGAATGGAAGGCGATTTGGATGAATTATAATTATAGTTATCTAGCCACTCAATACAGTCAGTTGTCGTTTGCAGCTGCACATCTGGACACTGCTTGTTAACTTCAGATTGTATTTCTTTAATGCAATGTTCTATGCTATAAAAAAGAAAAGAAAAGATTATTTTGGTAGGAAATAGGTAAAGGCTCTGTGTCATAATATCACAGGACCTGAGACATTTATATGTGGAACCTGGTTGCATATGGTTTAGAAAATTATAAAGTGTTCTTATGATAGGAAAACAATAATAGAGAGACTACATATTTTCATTCATAATTGAAAACTGAAGGCTGAGATTTCCTGGCAGTTTCCTATTACATACAGTGGAGGAAATATAAAATATGAGATACCTAGATACTCTGAGATGAATTAGAAATCATTTTGTGTAAAAACAAAAATCAAGCATGGCTACAATGAAATGATGGTCCTCCTGATAGGCAGTAGATGGAAGGCAGAGAAAACATATTCCTGATGGCTAATGATCATAAACATACCTTGTTTACTGATAGGTGAATGACTATGTAAATTATGGAAAATTTCAAGCAACGGAATGTTAAAATGTCACAAAGCAATTACAAAAACCTTGTAATTTCAGAAGTTGTAAAAGATAGATACATGCTCTATATACACTGTTATTACAGCCAAATATCTTTTCCTGCCATGGAACTCCACTCCAAAAAACAAAAACAAACTAAACACTGCATATTAAAAAAAAAAAAAAAAAAAAGACTGGAAGGAAATGAAACAAAGGGTTAACAGCAATTATCTTTGGGTCGTGAAATTGTTCTTTTAAATTTCACTTTTCTATAATTTTGTAAAGTTTTACAAAGCATATAATACTCATTTACTAAAAAATTAATAAACTAAAAACAGAAACACTTGTCCAATCAAATTTTTCAATACATACCTGCTTTAAAAATTATATACAAAGTACCGTTAGTTCTGATACTAAATGGATATATGACGTTATTTTAATTTTCATATAAAAATCTGTGGATTCATGATTATAAATCTTTGTGGTATAAACAGATAACCTTAAACAGAATGTCATCTGAGGAGCCACATGGATATGACATATTACTACCACCTGATGGCAGCATATCTAAACTGCAAGAAAGATTAACAGAAAAATTCTTTTGAAGCTGAATGCCCTCACCTAAAATTGACAGCTGTGCATTTGCCTCTTAATAGTATTAAGAAAGTCTGTTACTAAAAAGGTTACTACTGTTTTGAAAATATCATTGCTGTTCATTATGGATACCATGTGACAGAACTACTTAAGCTTTGAAAACCAAACTCTTAGTAGTAAAACTGATGTCATATGAATGGCTCTTCAAAAATCATCAGGTGTGGGTTGCCTATAAAACACACACTGTCTATTTAAGGAAGGCTTTTCAGGAGACTTCTGAGCATGAGTGAATTCAAACTGAATTACCATGAAACAAATAACATTGTGAGACTCAAAGAGCTTTTTCATGAAAACAAAAAACTTACAAGAAAAAGAATACCTCCTTAGGTCACAGGCCACACAATTTCCTGATGGGACAAACTTATTTAGGAATATCAGTTCTAAATCAGACTTCAGATTGGCAGATAGGTTTTTAACTTATGTAAGCACATCTATGGACTGAGAAACATGATACCTGAAGCATATACCTTAACTCTACGGACCCTTTACCAAAGGTTTTTATTATAGCATCCTCATGTGTCTCATTCAATGCAACCTAATAGACTACAGCAATGTGAATTGGAAAGGCTCAGGGCTGAGTCTACCTAAATCTGTTTCAATCAAGACTCAGATTTTATGCTAATCTCTAACATCTGAATCTGGGTAGAGGCCCATAACTATAAGCTATCAAAGGGGTAAAGCCTTCTGAAGGCTAGATACTTTAGTAATTTGTCCAAACACTGATAAAGGGACTAACCAGTTGCATTGTAGACGACCTCCCTCACTGATACAAACTGAGACAGGTAAGCTGCCTTTTAAAATCACAGATTTTGGGGTGCCTGGTTAAGTGTCCGGCTCTTGACTTTAGCTCAGGTTATGGTCTCATGCTTCATGAGACTTAGCGCCACCTCAGGCTCCTCACTGTTGGGATTCTCTCCCTCCCTCACCCCCACCCATACTCTCGGTCTCTCTCTCAAAATAAATAAATAAACGTTAAAAAGTTTTTGTCACAAAATTTTAAATGTCAGAACTTCTGATTTTGTTTTTAGTTGGCTAAATATCTTGTCATTCTGCCATTCACCACTGTCTAAACATCTTGCTTTAAAAGAGCAAAACAATAGTTTGAAGTGTAGAGATTAATTTTCAACACCTAAGAGGTAAAATTATTTTCATATTTATGTAGTAGTAATATTGCTGGTGGGGACCGTAATCTTGGATGGAAGGAGGAGGTCTATATAACTTCATAGGTAGATGATGCAAGACCCTACTCTAGGTTTTCTGACCTAACATGGTACTGGTCTTTATTCTGGTTGAAGTGTTTTCCAATTAACTGTAAGATGCTTCAAATTTTCTTTAGAAGCAATATCAGTCATAAAAAAATTACCAAAATAATTCAACAAATAGAAATCCAATTAACACTTTTATTATTAGATCCTAGACATTAGATAAAAAATGTAAACAGTCTAAAAACAAATGTAGAACCTCTTCCCTAAATAGTTTAAATCCCCAAATTTATACTATTAGTTGGCTTAGCAAGAACTTCTTTGAGAGAGAGAGAGAGAGCATATGCATACAAGCAGGGGAGGGGCAGAGGAAGAAGGAGAGAGAGAGAATCTCAAGCAGGCTCCATGCCCAGCGGGGGCTCAGTCTCATGACCCTGGTATCATTAGCAAGAACTTTTTTTTTTCATTAGCAAGAACTCTTAAGAGCATCATTTTAGCTTTATCCACTGAAAATATCTTAAATGCCTATCAACAAGAAAATTATTAAATTATTAAATAGTTAATTCACTGAGTGGAAGAGAGCTGTGAAAATAAAAGTAGAAATGTAGCTATCAACATGGATGAATCTTACAAATATACTGTTGAGAGGAAAAGGTACAAATGAATACACACAGTATGACACTATGCAACAATACTTTGAAAATCTGCCATACATCAGTACACCTTGTTGAGGATTACAAGCAGTGGTAGTCAAAGTGTAAGGAAATGTGCTGGAGCAATCACTAGCACCAAATTCACAGTGGAGATGAGAAACTGGGATGAATTTGTGGAAAGGTATATAGTGAGCCTTAGCAGTCCTGGTATTGTTTTATTCCTTAAACTGATGATGGGTGCATGAATGTTTATCATTAATACTCTTTATGCCTTTTCATATGTCTCAACATTTCCTAATAAATTTGAACCCAATATGCTTAGTTATAATGACTCTGAATTATCCAAGTTAACGACGTTTAAGAGTGCATGCATTACTGACAAACTACATGTAAATCAGATTTATAAGCCATTTTTAAAATGCAATATGCAGTATGCTTTCTTAAAAGATATCTGTGGTGACTTTCTCATTCAACATTCACTCCTGGGTACCTTAGGTGTAAAAATTACTTACTGAATGAAGACATGTTCAATCAACACTAAGTGAATATTGAATATGTGGCAGGCACTGTGATATATACTTGGGACCCAAATGTGAATAAGACAGGGCCCCATCCCTAAAGCAATTCTGTCTAATGAGAGAGACAGACCTGTAAATAAATAACTACATTTACACTTAGACTTGAGAAGAGGTGTGTACAGTGCTAAGGGATTACACAGGAGGAGGCTGCTAAACATGCCTTAAAAGGTAGAGAAATCTTACAGAAACGAAATTATGCAAGGATATTGATGCTTTAAGGAACTTAATGGGATCACTGTACTTAGAATTTCATGACCCCTGACTCCTGAAAATTTAGTGCTGATCATCTAACCTTACTGTCATGTCACTTTAAAACTATATTTATTTGGATAATGAAAAATAGTTTATTTTTATGGTCACAACTATATTTATGTATGTATGTAAGTGTGTATCTTATTTCCAAAAAGAACTGAGATGTCTTCCAGTAAAATAGATAGTATTAAATAACAACAGTATAAGAGCCTGTTGGTATCAGGCTGGTATAGGTGAGGATAGGGATAGGAACTGAGAAAAAGAGAATATTTATGACATAAAATCTAGAAACTTAACTTTAATGTAAAATTTCTTTCAAGACTTAAAACACATAGTCTTTATTATTCAACCACAAAATAACTGAAAGGAAAAAAAAAGTATGTTCCACTGGGGAAAATTAGGAGAGCGTTTTTGATGTAAAGGTTGTAGAAAACTTTTATGTATGCTTTCGTGGAAAGCTAGAATTTCTATTTTTATTTTTAAAATCAGATTAAGGTGTCATGGTAGAGATTAAGATTTTTACCATATGGGAAATCTAAACATTAAAAAAGGCATTTTATATTTTCGATGCTCTTGTTTATACTGTTTACCCACAACATAAATTCAGTCTAAGGAAAAGACTTTTTCAATCTATCAATGTTTAAAAGCACAGAGAAATAGTTGTGAGATCAGCAGTTTTCTAGTTTTTAGGTAAATCCAACTTATCTAACTAGATCAGTAAAACTCCTAGGAATTAACAGGTAACTAAGAGGGAAGAGGGCTGATACATAAAAATTAGTGTGTAATTAAACTATAAGTCAGCCATGCAATAAAAGCTTATTTTCCTGAGACAAACATTTTGGGATAGCAGTTTCTAAAAGGTTGAGAAAAGGATTTATAAATTATTGCACACCCACAGGAGTGAAATCTAAAAGATGAGGTAAAATTATATGGAGAGATTTAAAAAGAGTATTAAGTAAAAAAAAAAATGTAATTGTGGTACATCATATAATTCCCATTTGTATAAAAAAGGTAAAGTATTTTTGGGTGCATGCATGCATGCATACGCAGGGACTATTTCTGGATAGTTATAGAATAATTTATCAATATAGGTTACTTCTGAAGAATAAGACTAGGAGGGTCAGAGAAGTAGGCAAACTCTTCCTCATCTCTGCCTTTTGTGCTGACCTTTCCCTCATATATGCCCTTCCTTCTCTGCTGTCTACAATTTTTCATGAGTATATA